ATGCATATCTACCTCTTAAGTTTCTCTCTCCTCCCACCTTTCTCTCTCCCACTATGTAAGAGGTAATTAATGTCTCTCTAAGTTATTTATAATTCCTTCATTCGATATCGTCTATAACCTCTCTCCTTTGTCACTCATATCTCTCTCCTTAAATCTCTTCCTCAATATCTCAATCCCTATCTCGCTTTAGGAAAAACTCTATATCTCTCTCTCGCCCATAATTTCTCTTCTCTCTTATTCATCTCCCCCTCCTTAAAAATCTTTCTCTCAAATTCTTTCTTCATAAAGCTTTCTTTAGAAACAACCTCTCCTATCATATCTCACTTAAAAGACTAAAACCCTCACGTTTTTATGATTATTTGAATATTCAATTGTAACTGTAACTACAATATTATATTTTTAGCAAAAAAATATGTGATAAAGTATATATAAAATTTAATTCTTTTTTTGGGAGATATTTGGGTAATTTTTATTTTCTAATTATGAATTTTGATCACATCTTCTCTACTTTTCTCTCACTATTTTTCATTTCCACTATATCAAATTTTATTCCTCTATTTAAAATTATTCCGTCTCCCGATAATCGTATTTTATCACAAATAGCATACCTGAATTATTTATTTATTGCATGGTTTTTAAAAAATCATAATTATTTCATAAAGTTATTCAATAGTGGGGATAAATTCAATGATCTCTAAGACCATGTTTTATTGAAAATATTTTTCAATGATAAACATGTTTTAATGAATGTCACGTGCAACACACATGCATATTACTAGTATTATTTATGGGTTGGTACGCTTAAAATGATATTGATATGAAATTTGGGTTTTAGTGTCATTTTTATAATTAGAATTAAATAAAAATAAATAGAAACAGTTTTAATAAAAAAATTATTGATTAAAATAAATTTATGGGTATTTTAATTATTTTATTTATCATTTTTTTAATTATTTTCATGCAGTTCTATTTATGAAAATAAATCTATATTCTAAAATTCAGATAAAATTTAAATAAAAAAAAAAAGAAAGAAATGAAATCAATCATTGGCCATTAGATATGGCCCTGTAAAATCTCAACTAGTGGAAGAGTGATGATGCACCTTTTCCTCATGTGGGGATACTGTTTCACTCATTTATAATAAGTTCTTATTCAATAATGAAAATAAGTATTTTTTTTTAAAAAAAAAAATGAAAATAAGTATTTTTTTAAAAAAATTAATAATGAAAATAAGCTATTATATGCCCCTTTCTTTTGTATAATGAGGTGTGCAAGTGGGCCGGGCCTCATGGGGCTTGATTCGAACCCTTCATGGAGCGTGTCATGTAAAGCTGGGGACGAATTCTTGGTGGGTCTATGGGCCTTAATACTAAGGCTCGGTAGGGCCATACAGATATGTAATTTATAAATGCACATAATTCAATAAAAATTGCATAATAAAAATTAGTTAATGTATAGAATTCGTGATTAACATAATGTAATTTGTATATGATGTAAATGAGCTGTTGCTTACCTAGTTTTTTTCGTAGGAGAAAGTTTGTATAAGGTTTCAGCATTAAACTGTAGAAGTACAAGTGCACCTCAAAAATCCACTTGAAAGGGTTTTCCTGATGTCTAAAAATATTATAATTAATCATCTTGATCTCGAGATGTATGTATGCTAAAAGAAGATGATTTCAAATATTAAATGTAGTGTATCTTGTAACACATGATCTAGATCGTCCATTTTCATAAATTTTAATTGTTTATAGATTTGCTTGATTTAGACTATTTTTGGATATTTATATTTATCTTAAACCATCATAAGGATTTCTAGTACCGAAACCGCATCTTTTAACAAGATTTAAAGGTTTGCCTTACTTTAATTGTTTAAAGTTGATACCTTAAACAAATTGTATCCTTCTTATATTCTGTCTTAATAGAACAAAAATAATTATCTAATTTTATTTTTATACAAAATAATATGTATAAAAATAAGAAAGTTACATAAGCATTTTTTAGTGATATTTACAAAATATCCCGAAAAATTAAATTTTACAATGATCTTCCTTTTCTTTCCATCTATTTATTTTTCCAAAATACCCATTACTTTGGTCTTCTCTTTCCAAAAGTTGTGTTGAAGTTGGTTTTTTTTAAAAAATTAAAAGAATAAAATATTAGGTGTTGAGAGTTCCAAATATATTTATGTCTTAATAAAGGTTGGTAGTACAATACCAAACAAAATTATTCTTTTAAGAAATGTTTGGTACTATTGTCGTTCTCTTTCTCTTATGTTTGGTATTGGGGGTAGGAAAAACGTCATGTCTAATATTGAGAGTTTCGAAGATAACATTTTAAAAAATAATATTGTTTGGTACTCTTTGTATTAAACTTTATCAAAGGTAAGAATAATTTATTCAACTTCAACACAATTTGGAACTTAAAAGTTTCAAATGGGCATTTTGGGAAAAAATACATGGAAAAGATAAGGTGCACCAAATTAGAGTTTAAAATTTTTGGGACTTTCTCCAAACAGTCCTAAAAGAAAGAATACTCATAAGAGACGAACTACTTAATATTCTATCTATTTGGGCTGCTATTCCAGTGCAAGATCATGTGTTTTTTATAGGTATGTTGAAATTAAATAAAAAATATGAAAGTGTTAAATTTATGAAAATATTAAATTATTTATCTCTCATGAATAATTTGATAAATTTTTAAATAAAAAATATTTTCTTTTTTTTTATTAATCTACCTAGGCTTTTCTAAAACGACAAAAAATTAAACCTTCCAGTTGATCTTAGTTGGGCCAGAGGCGTGCATTCACCCCTTAATCCCGGGTAAATGTATAAAATGAGACCATTTATTTTTGGGTGCAGTTTCTATAAGGTGCAACCTTAAACAATCCAATTAAGGCGCACCTCCAAATTTTATCATAACATGTAATTTTGTTGTAAAATATTCTTAAGATTATCTTAAAATATATTTTTATATCAATTAAAAAAATGTAAACTCAAAAAATAGTTAAAATCAAGGACATCTATAAAACACATGAAAATCTTGAAAATGGACGATCTAGATAATGTGTTGCAAGATGCACTATTTTTGATACATAAATTTTTTTTTATATATCCATACATCTCGATGTCGAGATAATTAAGTAGAGGGTTTTTCAACATTAAAACAGCCTTTCCAATAGATTTTTGAGGCGTATCTGTAATTCTACATTTTAAAGGTCCAACCTTATATAAACTTTTCCCTTTATTTTTTTCTAGTAGATAACACAAGTATAAATGCCATGATAGGTAGAAGAATGACAAAAGCACTTCAGAGAGAAAAACAAATCAATAATATATTTTAATATAAAATGTAAGCAAAGAGAGGTGAAATTAAAAATAAATCAAAAAACAAAGGAAAATCAATAATATAATTTTAATGTACTTGTGTAATGTTAGATGGAACTTAAAAATTATTTCTACATCCTAAAACATTATATCAAAATATCATAGTTTTGAGCACTTAGAAATTCATTGTAAAAATTTTGAAAAATAATCATAAGCATATTTTATAATATAGAAATTTACTTAAAATAACTTCAATTTTTATATTTTAACGAAAATCAATAATATAATTTTGATGTACTTATGTAAGGGTGTGATTTATATAAGGTTGCAACCTTAAACAATCCAATTAAGGCGCACCTCAAAATTTTATCATAACAAGTAATTTTGGCTTAAAAAATTCTTAGAATTATCTCAAAATCTATTTTTATATCTAATTATAAA